TTTTTCTTCCTCATCGAAAAGCTTGCCGACGAGATTTTCTTCTACTTCTGCCATGTCGACGGTCGAGGAGGATAGTCCGGCGGTCGATGTCGGTGATCCGGCGGAAGACAGGCTTGAACCGGCGGAGGACGGTGATGGACCGTCGTATGTCTAGATTAGGGTTTTTCCCTAGGAATCTTGCTCTGATACCATGAAGAAAATAATAAGAGGGAAAATATTCTGTATATTGAATTGTTCTGCTAAGTACAAGGAGTTTCTCCTTTATTTATAAGAGAGGATAAAGACCAAAACACAAAAGGAATTCTATTCCTACAAAGAAACAAATCACTAAATATGAACAAGGAAACAAATCAAGAGCAATCCCACTTAGAATGGGATTTGCTCTCCTTCTTGCCGTGTGGTCCAAGGAGCACCGCCCAACACATTCACAGCCACAAACTTGGGAGTCACTCAAGTTGTGCCGCAGTCTGGTCTATGAAATCAAACACGTCACCGAAACCAAATCGTTGCCGAATTGTAGTAGCTGCAGCCCTGAAGTTTTGAGGTCGCCACCCAAAATGGTTTGCCTTTGGTGATTACAAATTCCTTGTGGCAGCAGTTCTACTTTAGAGTTTAGACAGGAAGAGGTCGGAAAGAAATGAAAAAAAAAACAGCAGAATGAGTTGGCGAATTGCAGCTCCTTGATGCCGCCAAGAAGATCTGCGGCGTGAAGGTAGTCCAGGATGACAATTGCTTCTTACACCACAAAACATAATCGAAACTGATTATCCGAACCGAATCATCCGAAACCGCAATCGAAATGGTCTGAAAAATGAAGATCTGATCCTAGCCAAAAACTCGAAATGATTCGAACCGAACCGAAATCGAACAAAATTCATGTCTGATTTAAACCCGAAACCGATTAGATTCAAAGTCGATTATATCCGAACCGAATAAACCCGAAACTGATTATATCTGAAACCGATAATAACCGAAAATGGTAAAACTCGAAATCAATTAGATCCGAAACTGATAAATTTGAAGCTGTGTTTGCCTTTCAATAAGCATATTATATTTTTAAATTTTTACCTTTATTTTACCATTTGAACTAATTTCATTACTTGCTCATTTAATTTCCTCATAAAATGAATTATCATTTTTTTAAAAATTAGAAAATCTCATGTCTTAAATTTATTACTCGTGTATTTTGGAATTAAACAAAAGTTATACATATAAAATATGGGATGAACTGACTGATAGGAACAGACATCATTAAAGCGTCTCAGCATGGCCATGCAATTTCCTCATTCATAACTTAATAGTGGACCCCATGAGACATTAATCTCTTAAAAGAGTAGTGACAAATCATATGTACGTAATCTACATTTATGGATACGCGCTGCGGCATACCCCAAACAAAAGCATGTATACCATCCTTATTTCATATGGTTTAGGACAATGCATCAAAGCATGCGGGTTCACTACATATGCAGAAAACGTAATATTTCAAGTCGAAGGATAGTTACACCCATGGTCGCGCTAAAGATGCTTAGAGCATGAACTAAAAGTTCAAGCAACATCTTTTGGATGGGTCAGTCCGACATCCTATTATCTCCAGATAATATCTGCCCATGTGCGGATGCGAACACATCATCATTGACTATAAGACTAAGTCAAACATCCAACACACACTAATTTCACATGCATTAACGATATCCTACTCTCGTTAATACTCGATTATGAACATTCAGATAAATATTTATTTCAAGATGTTACGACAATTTGAGCTTGCCCTATCTGTTCAATTGCGGCCTTATAACGCCATCGCATTCTCTGCTCCAATTGCGGTTTTTGTCTCTGTCTTCTTTATTTATCCACTAGGTCAGTCTGGTTGGTTTTTTGCACCTAGTTTTGGTGTAGCAGCTATTTTCCGATTCATCCTGTTTTTTCAGGGGTTTCATAATTGGACATTGAACCCTTTTCATATGATGGGAGTTTCCGGTGTACTAGGTGCTGCCCTGCTATGCGCTATTCATGGTGCTACCGTAGAAAATACTTTATTTGAAGACGGTGATGGTGCAAATACATTCCGCGCTTTTAACCCAACTCAATCGGAAGAAACTTATTCAATGGTTACTGCTAACCGATTTTGGTCCCAAATATTTGGAGTTGCTTTTTCAAATAAACGTTGGTTACATTTCTTTATGTTATTTGTACCAGTAACCGGTTTATGGATGAGTGCTCTGGGAGTAGTCGGCCTGGCCTTGAACTTACGTGCCTATGATTTTGTTTCCCAAGAAATTCGCGCGTTGGAAGATCCTGAATTTGAAACTTTCTACACAAAAAATAATTTGTTAAATGAGGGTATTCGTGCTTGGATGGCCGCTCAAGATCAGCCTCATGAAAACCTTATATTCCCTGAGGAGGTTCTCCCACGTGGAAACGCTCTTTAATACAACTTTAGCCGTAGCTGGTCGGGACCAAGAAACTACTGGTTTTGCTTGATGGGCTGGTAATGCCCGATTGATCAATTTATCGGGTAAACTATTAGGGGCCCATGTAGCGCACGCTGGATTAATAGTTTTCTGGGCCGGAGCAATGAATCTATTTGAAGTGGCTCATTTCAAACCAGAGAAACCTATGTATGAACAAGGATTAATTTTACTTCCCCACTTAGCGACTCTAGGTTGGGGGGTAGGACCTGGAGGGGAAATTATAGATACCTTTCCATACTTTGTATCTGGAGTCCTCCATTTAATTTCCTCTGCTGTCTTGGGGTTTGGTGGTATTTATCATGCACTTCTTGGGCCTGAGATAATATAAGAATCTTTTCCTTTATTTCGTTATGTATGGAAAGATAGAAATAAAATGACTACTATTTTAGGTATTCATTTAATATTATTAGGTATAGGTGCTTTTCTTTTAGTCTTCAAAGCACTTTATTTTGGGGGTGTATATGATACTTGAGCCCCTGGAGGGGGAGATGTAAGAAAAATTACGAACTTGACCCTGAGTCCAAGTATCATATTTGGTTTTTTACTGAAATCTCCCTTTGGTGGAGACAGATGGATTGTCAATGTAGACGATTTGGAAGATATAATCGGAGGCCATGTATGGGTAGGGTCAATTTGTATATTTGGTGGAATCTAGCATATTCTAACTAAACCCTTTGCTTGGGCGCGTCGCGCACTTGTATGGTCTGGCGAAGCCTACTTATCTTATAGTTTAGGGGCTTTATCTATATTTGGTTTCACTGCTTGCTGTTTTGTCTGGTTCAATAATACCTCTTATCCTAGTGAGTTTTACGGACCCACGGGACCGGAAGCTTCTCAAGCTCAAGCCTTTACCTTTTTAGTTAGAGACCAACGTCTTGGAGCGAACGTGGGGGCCGCTCAAGGTCCTACGGGTTTAGGTAAATATCTAATGCATTCTCCCACTGGCGAAGTCATTTTTAGAGGAGAAACTATGCACTTTTGGGATCTGCGTGCTCCGTGGCTAGAGCCTCTAAGGGGACCAAATGGGTTAGATCTGAATCGGTTAAAAAAAGATATACAACCTTGGCAGGAACGGCGTTCCGCAGAATATATGACTCATGCCCCTTTAGGTTCTTTAAATTCTATCGGAGGCGTGGCTACTGAAATAAATGTAGTCAATTATGTCTCTCCAAGAAGTTGGTTGGCAACCTCACATTTTTGTCTAGGATTTTTCTTTTTTGTTGGTCATTTGTGGCACGCGGGCCGGGCTCGGGCGGTTGCAGCTGGGTTTGAGAAAGGAATTGATCGGGATTTCGAACCGGTTCTTTCTATGACCCCTCTCATATATATATATATATATATATATATATATATATATATATATTTAATGGGGGTAGAGAGAAGTGAGAGCTTTCCGGGCAAATTTCTGGCAGGGTCACCGGAAAAACCATCTACCAATGCTAATCACACTAAGTTCATCAAACATTTTAAGGAATTGTTTGAGACTACAAAAGAAAAAAAAGTTGGTACTATTGAAGGTTTTTACAATGGTGTTCCCTCCATCAGCTTTTCATTGGAAGAAGAAGATCACCTTGCTGAAAAATTATTCTACTCAGCTGTGGGAAGATTCAAAGTCTACCTCCATCTCTCTGTCCTCAAGCTTTTTCTCCTAAGGATGGGTTTTTCGTGGTTCAAACTGAGGAGAATTTCCAAGTCAGACGTCCTATTTACTTTCAAGCATGAAGAAGACTACATAAGATTTCTGTAAAAACACTCCTGGTATGTTAATGGACATCACTTTTATGTTTTTAAATGGACTGCAAACTACAACAGTATGGAAGACAGCCCCTACTATCCCGTTTGGATTATCTTCAACAACCTCCCTTTGCACCTAATTGATTTCCAAGCTTTATACTCCATATCTTCACTGCTGGGCAGACCTTTGAAACTTGATGATTATACTATTAATCGTGATAGGAGAGAAACTGCCAGAGTTTGTGTTGAAATGGATGTATCTACACCTCCCCCTCCTAAAATTCACATTCGTTTAGGAGGAAAGGACCTTTATGTTCAGTGCTCATATGAATACTACCCATCTTACTGCTCACATTGTAAGAGATTGGGTCATAAGCTCAGCACAGGTTGTTCTTCCCATCCTCTGATTCCCACTGGAAGTTTTCCCTCCGGCAAGGGGAAAGAGGGCATCAGTCAAGAGGCTAAGGACAAATGGGAAGTGGTCAATAGGAAAAGGCCAAAAGGGAAACAGTTAACTTCAGACCATCCTGTCAATTTCAAAAAAGCTCCTATCATTTACGAGTGGAAGGCCAAAGATAAGAATAATCACCAGAGTAAAAGTACATTTACACCTCATCTTCTGGACCTTCTTGATCAGTTTGATTCATCCCCTCCCCACGGAATGGGGTCCTGCACTGATGGTAACCCACCCATCAATGAGATGACTGTCCCTACATCCCAAAATATCCAACCACTTGCTCTCAATTTCCTCACCTTATATGAAGCCAAACAGTATGCTCTCAAAACCAAGGGACCCTTTTATCTGATCTAACCACAGCAAGATCAGAAATGAATGCTTGACCCACTCTCCAGAGTTTAATTTGCCTCTTATGGATCTCATACCCTTCAAAGGATCTGTTGATGACTGTATATACTATCAATCCCCTGAAAAGAGTTTGGATATGCTCCTTAATGTTCTTGACCCTCATCATCCTTCCACCTCTCAGGACAAGCATTGGGAATATTATAGGCACTCTGATGATGGCAGTGCTGATGAAGTCATTGATTCCTCTGAATTGAAAACAGTACATTTCAAAATCCCAGATCATGACTCTCCAAGCCTGTCAATACCCAAAGCAAGGAAAAAGAAAAAGTATGAGGCATTCAGCAACATTATGACTAGAAGCCATAAAGGGAATAAAGATTTTAAACTTCACAGTCTCAAATGATAGTGCTTTTCTGGAATACTCGTGGAGTTAGGTCCTCTCTCAAAAGGATCAAATCTCTTGTGAAACATCACAATGTACATACCTTAACTATCATTGAGCCAATGGTTTCCTCTGAGCAGATTAACACGTATGGGAGGAAGATTGGTCTTTCTAACTTCTTGGCCTCCACTAACAATAAAATCTGGATTTTTTTTGAAAGGGGAATTGCTAAGGCTGACTTCTTCCTTTGAAACTGAACAACTACTTCACTGTAATTATTGGGACATTTTACATAAGGAGGAAGTCTCAATTTCATCTATTTATGGCAAACATTCTGGTTGGGAGAGGAGACAGCTTTGGCAAGATCTTATCTCTAACACCATCTCTCTTTCTAAATGGATAGTTGGTGGGGATTTTAACACTATTTCTAATATTTCAGAACATTGGGGTAGTGTTTCTCCATCACATTCAGACATGGAGGATCTCACAGATTGTTTAGACACTTGTGGCTTGATTCACCCCAACTCATTGGTAATATATTCACTTGGACTGGCAAACGTAGTAGGGGGCTAGTTCATAGAAGATTGGACAGAGCTTTGGTAAATGATAAGATGATGGACTCCTATGATGAGATTACTATTACACATCTGAATAGTACTACTTCTGATCACAAACCTATCTTACTACAGTGTTCCATGGATCAGAGTGAAGGTCCCACACCTTTCAGGTTTCTTAATATTTGGACTAACAACCATAAGTTCCTGCAGATTGTCTCAGAATACTGGATATCATCATCCTATGGTGGTATGAATGGGTTGGCACACAAGTTGAAAGGGTTGAAATCTAAACTTAAAGAGTGGAATAAAAATGAGTTTGGCAATATCCACTCTAAACTTAGAGAGGCTGAATAGAATACTACCAAAGCTCAGGAACTCTTTGAAGTAGACCCTAGCCCTTCTCACAGAGAAGATGTCAACAAAGCCAAGGCAGAACTCATTATAGCCATTGATAATGATCTAAATTTTTGGAAACAAAAGGCCAATATCAAATGGATGGAAAATGGGGATTGCAATTCTAAATTCTATCATTCATATGTCAAAGGGAAAAGAGCTAAATCCAAGATCAGGTCTATTGAAGGCATGGATGGTCACACTTTTAATAGTAAGGATGCCATCTGCAATGCTGCAATTCAGCACTTCACCAACATTTTTGGGTATCATAACACCAATATAGTTACTCCAGCCTTACAATTTATCAATTCTACCATCAACCAGTCTCATAATGATCAAATGTCTTTCTTACCAACTGAGGAGGAGGTGCGGGAGAGTGTTTGGAGCCTCAATCCAGATAGTGCTCCAGGGCCTGATGGCTTCAATGGTCATTTCTTCAGAACCTGCTGGACAATTATAAAAGAGGATGTGATTAGTGCTTGTCAGGAATTTTTCCTGGGAATCCCTGTTCCACAGAGCTTTGGTAGTACTTTCATAAGCCTCATTCCTAAAACAGAGGAGGCAAAAAGCTTTGATGACTACATGCCAATCTCTTTGTCTACTTTCATGAGCAAAATAAACACCAAAATTCTAGCTACCAGGTTACAGAAAATCCTCCCCAACGTTATATCCATCGAGCAGACTGGTTTTCAAAAGGGACGGGGGGTGAATGAACAAATTATGTTGACTGAAGAAATGATTCATCACATTGACTCAAAATCAGGGGAGGCAACATGATCATTAAATTGGATATGGCAAAAGCATTTGATAGACTGGAATGGGGTTTTCTTAGTGCCATTTTACTAGTTATGGGTTTCTCTACTCAGGTTACTCATCTTCTTCTTTCAAATCTGGAAGCTACTTATCTCTCCATTCTTATCAATGGGAGTCCATGTGGATATATTAAAATGAAGAGAGGGGTCAAACAGGGAGACCCTCTTTCTCCCCTTCTCTTTATCTTGGCTAGTGAAGGCATTTCAACCTTATTGAACCATTGTATGTCCTCCTCCTACATTAAACACTTCAACACAGGAAGGGATCTTCTAGTCAGTCATCTGGCTTTTGCAGATGATATCATCATTTTCTGTAATGGGACT